GATGTGGGGATGCATAATGTTATGTCTGTCTTTAATTGGAATGGCAATAAAAATAAATTAAAAAAACATCTAAAGAAGTGGCATTTTTAGATCTTTATAGTGCAAAAAAACTCTAATTTAAAAACATTAGTAAAAACATAATGGTAAATGGTAAAATACAAAATAATGGTAAAATAATAATAATTTCTATGTTGTCCATGTCTATATCAGACACGTCCAAATCCAAATAAAAGTGTGGTAGGTATAAACTTCAGTAGTACGACACTTAGGTAGCAGTTGTATTTCAAAAGTAGGACAATGTCTCCACCATCAACATATAAAGAGAGACTGCACTACGCATAGAAACACTTCGGTGCATTTAGAACAGTTTATTCTGTGAGAATGGAACTAATAATGAACAAAGATGTGTGACATCATCAAGCAGTCAGCAGCAGAACAGACTCCTGGCCACTGATCAGTTCTCCAACCAGACAATGACCCAAAGCATCTTCAAACTGTTAAAGATCCATCTCCACAGACTAAAGTGAATAATATTGATTGTGCTGCACAAAGACATGGATTCCAAAAAAAGCATCATTCAGACTGTGGCTCTTTCTTGACATAGATTATTTCATGTTGACCAACGTTGACCAACGTATGTCCTTGTTGACCAATCGCTGGCCTTATGTGGTCTAGGTGGTTCAATGTAGACTTGTGTCCCTTTCCTGCAAATGAGCCATTCCTGTAATTCGATGGGAGTTTGAGACCCTTGTGATTCCATTTTCTCAGACACTGATGTAGGATGAGCAAAAAGAAAACTGATCACAATCATGCTCAGCCTATTCAGCTCCCCTGTGTATTTCCGTGAGAGAGCAGAAATTAGATACAATGACCCTGTTGTGTCTGTTTACTTGTGTCCTCCTCATCTGCTCCGGAGATAAAATGGTCGCACACACGGCTGTGCAGCCTTGTGATGCAAATGTGACAGTTCTGCCCTGTGTTAACTGACTGGGACTTTCTTGTCACATTTGACCTCTAAAAAGGAATGCATGTGAACACGTTCTTCAGGGGGAAACAAAATAGATGCAGAAAAAAAAGAAGAAGATTTGCAGCACCGTGCAGTATAATTCATCAAAACACAGCCATGTGCCTCGGTCGAACATCTGCCCAAGAGTTTACGGATACCATTGTTTGGCTGCTTTCCCGGCCTGTCTGGCTGATTCAGCATGAGTAAATACCACCACTGCAGCAGCACACTGGTGATATTAGGAGTGCGGCTTTAAGTTGGAGTCCAGAGCTGAGTCACCATATAGAGAAGAGCGAGTGTAGGTGACAACGCAACAAGAAATAGCAGAGACAGCAGCCAAGCGGTGAAA